ACTTCCACCTGCACTTTCAACTGGACCACGGCCAATCAGAGAGGTCCTGCCCCTGACTATCTCTGATTGGTTTAGTCCACGATAGGGGCAAAATGTGTGTCTGTTGTTGACCACAGGGAAGGTTGCAGATATTTATTTATTTTTGCTACCCGAACAGTTGGTCGCACAGGTGCAACCAAATATTTTTTTTTTGGTCGCACTCTAGAGCCCTGCCTTACAGTGTACAAGAATGACTAGGTCTTTGAATCAGTGTCCGTAGTGAGTCTAAAGTAAGTTGCCTGCAATGATATTTAAGGTCCAGCAGGTGTCAGTATGGAGCAAAACAGCAAAACTGTGTCGACACAGTATCGATACAGTTTGGGGAATGTGCTGAAACGCTTCACGAGGCCTCATCGACCCATCACTATTACCGACAGTATACCCACTCGCACCGAGTGAATTAATTGCCTCTGGTTTTTTCCACAGAAGAGCGCTGACTTCACCCCACACACCCACTACCTTTTCACAGCTCTTCAGCCAATCACCTGGAAGAGAGCAACAAACTGCCAGGTGACACTTGTTACAATTATTTAGTCTTTAAATTGTATAGCGCATATCTAAAGATGTTTAATACTTACAGACATAAAGTGGGGCTTTAATAAAGCTTCCTGCAATAAAACAATGTACACACACACACAAAAAGCACAATATAAGAAATCCGCTTCAACAGTTATTTTAAATGAGACCTATTTGTTGAAACAAGCACGAACTTATTATTGTTTAAGTTTTTATGTAACACAGACAGCGGCATAAACATACAGATGTTAGCTGACAGTTTTTCAGTCATTTTAATCCAACACAAGCAACACTGCGTGTATATAAGTAACATTCATTTTACGGTTCACTGGGGCAGGAAGTAGGTGTTTTTTTTCTTTTCGGCAAAGAGGTGGGGAAAAGAAGTTGTTTCCGGTAGAGCTCGGCTTTGACAGCGTTGCGTTCACGCGCTACTTCTTTTGACGGATTCTTTCGTTTAAGAACATTTTATTTTGTCTCGGTCGTTAAAGAGACGGTAGAAATAACGCAGAGGTGGTATTCAGACGTTATTAGAAAGTTTAAGGACGATAGCCAGACGACTTTGAAGGAGGAGAAGAAGGACCGTGTTTAGTTTTAGAGAGAAGCTTCATGAACAGGTGTCGAGCAGACATCGCCCTCTCCCTCCGCCTTTTCTCGAACGTCGAAATAGGACACTTGACACTTTGGTTGGGCCAACCCATGCCGGGTTTCAAGAATTGGATATGGATATTGTTGCGCTGCACACGAATGGCCTCAATGCTGAACAACGTTCAGTGACAGCGGGCTGCTGACCGAGTTGGCACAAAGTGGAGGACATTGGCTGATATGTGATGTGAAGGTGGGCTGCTGCAGAGTAACGCGGTATTCTAGTGTGAATAAAAAAATCTGATTCTCGCTTTAACTCACCTGCAGTCACGATCAAGAAAAAAGGACAACCAGTAGATTCCTGCAGACTGATGTTACATCCATTACGTGCAGTTTTTGGGTCCTGATCAGATCGGAGTGGTACAAAAGTTGGAGTGAAAAGTTCCAGACCGTCTTGGAGCGCTTGCCCAGAACTAATGACGAGTGATGATGCAGTCATAGACTCCTCCCTTTCTGCGAGTATTGTGAAATATGAAGATACATTCAGGGGATTCCTGCTGAATTTGTGTGTTAATGTTCGTGTTGGTGTTTCATCTCTGATACAGAGCAGGTTGTTTTCATGGATCCTGTTAAAAGGGAAGATTTTCTCCTGAATGACAACATTTTGATCTCTCAAAAATGTATTTCACATAATATTCCTGTAAATAATAATCACCCGAGTATTTCTAAGCACAATCACTGTGCCATCATTTGAAAACACTGCCACTGTTTTAACATAAACATCTCATTTCCTGTTGGATTTATTTAAACACTGACTGAAATCATACATTGAGATTTTTGACATTGATAGACCTCAATTACCCTAATTCACACATTAATCAAAAAGACATTAGATGAAAAATTAAATATGATAAATAAACAAAAAATTCAAATGTGGGTTTCTGACACTGTTGCAGTACAGAGAGGGACAGTCCTGAGAGTGAGGAGGAAGACGAGCTGTGAGGGAGAGGAAGAGGGACAACCAGCGGTGTTGAACAGACCTGTGTGTCTGCGAGTGTCGTGTCATTACAATTCATACAGTCAATGTAACTGACAGTAATGAACCATAATGACAGAATAAAGTAATAAGTTAACACTGATCAGTTATTGTCCTCAGTTACACCCTCATGTTTGCTCTGCATTCATCTCTTATCAGACATACAAAGATGATCCACCAGTGCTGCCCAGTTTGAGGACATTTCCAGTCACATTAATGGAGGACAGGAGACGCAGCTTCCATCAAAACTGGTATGAAAGTCATCGTTGGATTCTCTGTAATTATGGACTCTGCCTGTTTCAGGCCACCAAATATGTCAGACATGGATTTTAAACATTGTGCACATGTATGTGAAACCTTTAATTTGAAAATCTTTTGGATATCTTCTTATAATTTTTTTCCTCCTGTGTGTTTGTGTGTGCAGAGTTTCTACCAGAGCCAAATGTCATCGACTCCTCACTGAAGTCGTCCACCAGTCCAACCACTGGAATCCAGCTGCTGCTCTCTAACTGGTCCACACAGCAGCTCAGACCTGACACATTCACTGTAAACACACTGGTTTATATTCTGTTTGTTCTCCTCATGAAGGAAACTTCACACAACCTCTGAGTTCAAATCACTGAAAGTTCAAATGGAAAGTTATTATTGTTTTCTTTTATAAAGAAGCAGAAGCAGAAGCAGAATGGTACCATAAAGATTTTATTTATTTTTCATACTTGAGGGAACAATTCTTCACCAGGCCTTTCAGAATAAAAGCATGACCAAGACATCATTTATACATAAACAATAATAAATGGTATGTAACTAAAATATAGATGTAATCCATGTTTTATGTCTTCAGTAACTTTGCTGTTATTTATGTTATTTCTAAGTGTGCTGTCGTCTCCACAGCAGTGATCTGGTTTCTCTGCAGGTTCAATAAACTTTGGTCTCACTTGATCTTCTCGTGTGCTTCTGTGGGTTTCACAAAGATGTCTGATGGAAAACGTGAGTTGTTTTCTTTTCCTGGTGGGAACATAGAACCAGTCCTAGATTGGTCACTGACTCTGTAAATACTGAGGTACGACCATGAACACAGCTGTCTGAGCCCTCGTGCAAAGTCCTGGTTGAGCCAGTTACATCGACACCTTTTTATGACCAAGTTATTTATTTTTTGTTTTCTGTTCGTAGCATCGAGACTACAGCTGTATAAACTTGTTATATAATGACAGTTAATGTCTAAATGTTGTCTCTCGTTACAGTTTCAGAGTCAAAGTGATTCAGTGAGCAGGTTTCCATCTCGCTTAGATCCAGTTTACACATGTGCTCAGTGAGGTATGTTTGAGTCCAGCTCACATTATTCAGTTTCACTTCAAGATTATTCATGAAGCACCAGGAAACAACAACCATCCGAAGGCACTTTTACAGTAAAAACATTAGAATCAGAAAGTCCATGAAAAATGCATGAACTGAGTCAAAGTCAGAAAGTTTCTGATTAAAAATATAAATATATAATAATAATAATAAATAATAATATAAATATAAACATGAAACCTACTTAACATCCACATTACTATTTAACGTGCATTAAAAAGAAATATATTATTTAAATATATATAATATAAAGTCTGCTGTAAAGTTAAGAAGTGTGTGCAATGCTTAAAGCTGTATATAATAAACATTAGAAGCTTCTGTGATATAAATATGAGTGAAGCAGCAGGTATTTTAATATTAAAGCTAAAGACACATTAACTCAGCAGGAGTTTGAGAATATAATGTACGTTTAAACATAAAACCTGAAAATGCTTCCTGGATTCTTTGTCGACAATTTAAACCAAAGAAAATGTAAAAATTCATAAAAATCTTTTTTGGCAGTTTTTGATGCCATGTGTGACATTTGAGTCTACACATGATTGGAAAACCACAACTGTCTTTATCCAGAATGCTCAGTGTCACCTCTGAGAAGCTGAAACAGCAGGAGACTCAGATCAGCTGGAAAAAACGGAAACATTTCAAACAGGCTGAAGTTCAAATGGAGGCTGGTATGAACCCTGCTTACGTTGTTTTCGGTAGATCAAAAAAACAACAACAGCAGCAACAAGAACCACAGCAGGAACACTCAGACCAACGATCAGTCCAACAGGTCCATCCTCTGTGTCTCCTCCTGACTGAGCTGCAGGTGAGAAACAGGTGTGAGGTGTCAGCTGTCAGGTAGGTGATGAGTGAAGAACAGAACAGAATCAAACTGCTGTCAGACATTATCTACTGCACTCTGATCACATCACTCAGACCAGCTGCTTTCTACAAAGTCTCATCAACAACATCTTTAGAAACAAACATCAACAACCAGGAAGCAGCTTCACCTCTGATCACACACACACTCAACTCTACTCACTCACCTGGAGGAACAACAACACTCAAGTCGATGGTGCAGATAGGGTCACATGAGACTGTTTCTCTCACAATACAGCACTTGTATGTTCCAGAGTCATTAATCGTCACATTCTTCAGAATCACAGACACGTCTCCATCCTTCATCTGTCTGTCCTGCAGATCCACCCGGTTCTTAAATAATGGATGCTGATCATCTTCTTTGAGCTCCTTGTCTTTAAACACAGCTACATGTTTATCTCCCAGGTCATCTCTGCTCCACTCTACAATGAAGATGTTGTTGTTTGGAGCTCGACATGTCAGATTGACGTTGTGTCCAGAATCAGCTGCGATGATTTTCTGGTCTGAAAGAGGAAACAACACAGCGCAGAGAGCTTATAGGTCAAAGTACAACTGTTACACCAGCCAATCAGAGTGAAGAGTCTCTCTGGGATCCTGGTTTACAGTGGCCGAATTAAATCTGAGCATCAGATCTGTTAAAAAACTGTCAGAACAAGAACGGAGCACAGGGAATAAAAGCTCCTGAACAGAGTATGAAACATTTCATTAATAACAAAATCTTAAATAACATAAACAAAAAACTTAACTGTCACTTTTGTGAGCCACTTGCTGGGCTTGTGTAGACAAGAACATGCCCGAAAATTTTAATTTTTCAGTTTCACCATCAGAAATGATCATCGTCATCACATCCAGCACATTGAAATCAGTTCAAGTGAGTGATTAAATAATTAAATGAGCCTGCTGTTCATACACCAGGCCCTCTGGACCTCATACTAATGAGGTCACATTGGCCACCAGTGGCGGTTTTTGATATGGGCGACATGGGCCGTTGCCCAGGGCAGCACCACGCCAGCGCATTTTTGTGATTGCACAGGCACCGATCGGTTTTCTATTCTCCATTTGTGGGGAGTAAGGGCGCCCTCGGTTTGCGTGCCTGCTGCTTGCTGCACAGAGAGGGGCGGGGCTGGCCGGTGCAGCATCTAATAACCAGCTGGCAAAATGAAACAAACCAACAAACATAAAAACACCAGACATCATGATATAGACTAGTAATTTACACTGATGTGATTTCTAAATTCTATCACATATACGTGAAACGTGAGCGCGAGGGCCCTCAGTGTGCCTGCTTTCTGCTGCTGCTAAAGTCTCACACACAACCTGTCGAAACTTCTGTTTACCTTTGTTAGTCACTCGGCTATGACTGTAAACAGTAGACACTGATGTGGCTTATTGAATCTTTTGCACTGTGTTCAGCACAATATTAATTAACCATTTATTGGAAGAGCTGATTGTAGATTTTGCTGTGAACGCGGACATGCGCGTGTGAATACTCAGATCTGTAAATGTGAAATAAAGCGTAAGATGCACAGATATGAAAAAGTCAAGTGTTGCTCAAAGCTCTCGAAACAGACAAGTCACGCAGGTTTTCCCCCGTCTCTGGACACGTCATTCTCTCCACCCTCTTGTTACAGACTTTACTGAGCCTCGCAGGCGCCTGCGGGACTAGACCGAGCGACTGCGTGCTGTTTGCGCCTCGACGCAATGCAGGCTCAGATGGACAGACTACCGTGTGCTTGCTGAAAATGTAAGATTTATTCTTTTATTAACATATGACATACATGTATTAGAAGCTCGGTGTTATTATGACAGTGTTTTGGCAATGGTGTTTACGGACCGATCTGTGCTGAAAACACGAGTTAAAGAATAAATAATAAAGTACCGAGCAGCTAAACCCGAGGCAGACACAGGGATTCATCTTTCATTTTGTCCTTTTTCGTTCAAACAGTCCGAACAAACGTGTTATTTCTAGAAATCTTCCGAGCGATGGTGAAACGCAGACTGCATCGGTTTCGTTTCTCTTTGTATTAGAATATCATCATGGCCATATATATAGGCGGAGCCTGAATAACCCGCACCTACAGCGCTTACTCAGCTTACAAATATTTGATGACCTCTGACTAGTCACAGAGAAAATGCTCAAGTTTTTAAAGCCAACACACGTTTTTATAGATTCAACGACAAATTATATGTCCTTATATAGTTATTATACAGAGACATACACACAGTAAAAAGAAGCTTGTGTTTCAGGCCTGGTTTTAAATTTGAATCTACA